GTCATTACAAAGAGTCACGGGTGTCCTTCCAAAGTCCTACTCGTCAAGAGGATATCTCTCGATAAGTATTCCTTTTTCGGAAGTCCACTGACTCTAGGTGAAGTCATCACATAAGCTCGCATGGATGATGTATCCCCTAAGCTAATAGACGAACCTTCTTTCTAAAGGTTATTGAAAATATTTTTTTTGAAATAAAAATTCCCGCCACACAGTAAATATATAATGATGATAAAAATTGACAATAAATAAATAAATGCAACAAAATAGATAAATGAAATAAATAAACAAAGCAAATAAAGATAAAAACCAAAAAAAAAACCTAAAACCTAAGGTTGAGGAGTCCCCAGCAGAGTCGTCAGCTGTTGCGATCGGTTTTTAAATCAAGGTCGCCACTATTAGTTTTTATCCTAGGGAAGGAAATCTAATAGGAAACCCTAATTCACAGACAAAGATTCTAGGTTTCGGACTTCATTAGACGAAAGGAAGGTGTTAGGCACCTTTTATCTACCTTGTTCACAAGGATATTAGGTTTCAGGTTTAGGTTTCGGGTAAACAGGGTTTTAGTTTTTAATAGGGGAAAGGGTTTAATTTTTTTATAAGGGAACTCGCTACGATTTTTGATCGTATACCTACGTATCATCTTATGAGGAATCAGAATCCCAATTTGTAATTCTTATGGGGTTGGTGTTTTTTAGGGGTTACAAATGTATTTTGAATCACCTCGCATTTTGACCGAGAGTAGTGATTGCAGAGATTTTGGCTAAATGCGCGATTAGTCAAAATCTGTTTGAAGCCCTTTTGCAAAAAACAGTTGTTTAGATTAGTTTATTGCGGAAAATAAGTTTGATGTTGGTTAGTATTTTTTTTAATATTAATTGTGAAATTCTTGGTTAATGCGTGAGTAAAAATATTTTAATGTCAATATACAAGAAAAATATATATGCATTTTGAATAAAAATAATTTACATGTTAATAAGTAATAAAATTATTAACAAAAAGAATTAGAAAAAGAATAAAAAATATGATAATTATTAAATATAAATATAGAGTATAAGAATTAATAAAAGAAAAGAAAAGAATTAAAAAAAATGGAAATACTTAATTAATTAGGAGGGTGCGTTTTCAGTTAACCACTAAAAGAGTGGGGGTGTGGAAATCAGTTATGCTGGGCTAGGCCCAAATATATTTTTGAGGGGGCGTATTTTGTTTTGGAATTTAGTAAAACTAACAGAGGGGGTGTGGAAATTAACGGGCTTGGCCCACTATAGAATTTGGAGATGGGTCCAGGTGATTGAGTGAGGCGAGGTGCATGGAGCTTACGATGAAGACTTGATCTATGACCGTCTGATGCGTATCTAATGAATGGGATTGAGGGCATATGATAACTACTATGGGCGCGTGTTCATGCGATTGAAACAGATTATAATATTTGTTTTTTTTCATTATTTCTTTTTCTTGTTTCACTTACATCATATATCCTCTTTCTCACTACTCTTTCCCTTTCTTCTTCCTACCCTTTCCTTCCCTAACGCTATTCCCCGACGGCGGCTCAAGTTCTCCCTCCTCTACCCTTCTTCGCCGTCATCAACCAAACCCCAATCCCCTAGTCAACAATAAAAAAGAACAAAAACTAAAAACTAAGTTACCCTTCACGATGTATCCGTCTCTGAGCTTTTTCGATTCCGGCTTGAGCTAATCTCCCTTTCTTCTTCGTTTTGTAGGTCGCAGTAGCGGTGGCAGCGAATGTCGAAGATGGTGGTGTACAACGGCGGAGCGATGACGATTAGGGTTTTGGATATCGAAATCCCAATCGCCACTTGTTCTTCTTCAACAACAATTGGGTATTTGTTCTTCGTATTTCTTTTACTGTAAAATCCACCCCCCCTTTTTGTATCGAATTTCTTCCGTATATCTTAATCTTAGGGTTTTTGATCAATGGGCTTGAATAATAAATCCATCTGTAAATTGCTGTCAGAATTAGATTTAGGGATTTTATATAGAAGTTAGGGATTTAGAAATTGATTCGTTGCTGGAGATTTGGGCTGTAATATATTTGATTTGCTTTACTGTAATTGCATATTTAATTTTGTGGATTTGATATAGTTTGCAATATAAATTATGGATTTTATTGCGAAAGATTTTGAGATATGATTTAGTTTGCATTGATTTCTATAGTACCAGTTTGTAAACAAAAACCTACGCTAATTTTGTTTAGATTGGAACAGTTGCTGTTTTTTGGTTTAATTGGGCCAATGCTAATATTTTATTATTTAGCCCAGTAGCATTATAATTGTTACAGCAAAAACGTTTTTTAACAACACTAGGCCCAAATGGCCTCTCCGTAACCCAATATCACCTTAACCAAACTTTGATAAATACAAATAACAAAATGTTATTTAATAATAAAAGTGAAATAAACACTTAACCGTAACGACAATATTTTTCTTATATATTCTTTTTTATAAAATCAACCATTTTGTCAATAATTTCTTAAAACAAAAAAAAGCAACAAATGGGCTGTCCAGAAACCGTTTAATAGGCCTGTAGTTTTATAATTACACCCCCTTTTGTTGTTTGGATGATAAAGTAGAAATGGGCCAACTAAATAAACCCAATGGGCTTGTAAATTGCACACCCCCTTTCGTTTTTGCTACTTAGAAGAAATGGGCCAATATGAATTTTAATATAATTGCATCCTCACCCCTTCTCTTATTAACAAACAAACATTCTTAAATGGCTTCAGATATATTTAATTCCCACCTCTTTTTTACTAAATAACTATTTAATAATTAAGAACTTAATAATTATTATTCTTTTTTTGAAATAATTTTCTATTTTTGAATCGCATGGGCCATTGGCTAACATGCTTCGCGAATAGGTTTATGAGTCTTTATGATTTAGAAAGTCCCACTATCCTGGATTAAAATACACCCCTAGTTTTAGATAAAGACATCAGATACTGCTGTACCATCTTTAATTAAATAGTTCTTATATTTTAATAAAATCATCAAGGTAGGGTAAATTTGGGGTACGACAGACGCGGCGGCCCATCCGCCATCAAAATCAGCTGCCCATCCTTAGTCACGCACTCAGCGGGACGAAAAATCTCGACATAAGCCACCAGTTTCCCGTAGGCAAGCTGGTCTTCAGTATCCAACTCTTTGACCTTCAAAGCATAGGCATCGACAATCTTGTTGAAATGGCTCTGCTGCCACTCGAGAGGGAACTTTGCTCGCAGTTTCGTCATTTTCCTACCATCCTCAATCTCCTCCACGCGGTTGTATAGAGTGTCCTCGGCCGCATGTGTGAGAGGTTTCACGAGGTAATACATATCCTTGAAAGGCCGAACAAAATCAAGATACATCCTGGATAACTTCTTCGATTGTTTGAACGATACCCAGTTATGGCGACCATTGGCGGACTGCCTTTGGAGGTGGAAAATCGCAAAAAACAAGGGAAGAATGACCTTAATCTCGAGGTACCTGCACGTGAGTTCGAACGCCCACGCAAATGCAAGCGCATTAGGATGAAGCTGGGAGGGCGCCAACTCCAACCACGTAAAAATGCCAACCTGAAGACCGCTAAAGGGAAAACAAGTTCCCACCTCCTTAAAAGAAAATTCATACATCGGGAATCGAGTCCCCGAAAACCTCGAGAAGATTCGACTAGTAGGCCAGGGGCGTAAGGGCGCCCAGGACGTGGGGACACCTTCACGAATCTCGATAGTGTTAAACGCGTCGGACGAGTCGACCGTAAATCTCGAGACAAACCCTAAAGGTTCAGAGCCCACGCAATCCAAGTTCTCCCCTGCTTCCTCAACAGGGGGTCAACTTTAGCATTTTGGGCCATCTTACCTGAAAAGCAGGGGAATGCACTGAATTCAACGGTAAAACAAATCAACCCTTCCACCGCAAATCAAGTGAAAGGGTGAGGAAGTGATCGAGATGCATCCTCGATCACAGCCCTCATCGACGACTGTGAGAGTACCGAGACACTCGTCCGACACAAGGTTCGATGCACGAGAATGAGCCGAGGAGAAACCTCCCCGTCGAGCTTCATCATGAAATTTATGAAGTTCATCCAGAAACTCATGAGTTCATCAAGAAATTCATGAAGTTCATCAAGAAATTCATGAAGTTCATCAAGAAATTCATGAACTTCATTAAGAAATTCTTGAGGTTCATCCAAAAATTCATGGATTCATCAAGAAACCATGAGCTTCATCAGAAAACCCATGATTTTCACTGAAAGATTCATACACTGGCCATAAACTTCATAGAGTTCGCCAGAAAGCTCGTGCGTTCATAAAATATTCACGAAGAAAATCCAAAAAACAAGCACAAGGATAAAACACTTACCAATGAAAATGAACGGGGAGAGCAGCAAATGTGAGAGTAGCAAGAGAAGAATGAAATGGTGAAGTCCCAAATGAGTCACCTCTCACTCTTTTTTAGCTAGATCCACACTACGGGGAGACACGCAGAAATACATCATTACCTAGGACCTAAGTCATTATTAATGTGACGATTGAATCTGTCACACGTGGCAATTTAAAGGTTTGACGATTGATCTCTCAAAAATGCTATCTACATATTACCAGGCATCAAATCCACGCGATAACTCTTCACATTTTTTCAACCGGACATCACCCCATATGTCATTTCTCACTTCCTGAAGTCGAGCATAAGCACCATCTTCCTCGATATTCTCTTCAAACATCATGTTAGACGATACCCCACAGTCGAACATGACCAACCATCACGATGGATGTCGAAAATAATCTCCTCGCATGCGAATCCATAGAAAGTCCCTCAATCCATGCATAAGAACATCCGTGAAAATCAAAGTGATACCATAATTTTGTTTTATAGAAATATAAATAATAGTAATAATAATAAACATGTCACGATTGTTTATTGATAAGTAATTAATTGTCATAAACAATAAACATGTACTCGAAGCAATGAAATTATATAATATGTGGCAAGAATTGCATCATTACGTGCACATAATGCGCAAGGCACCCAATTTGGGTCCCACTCACTTCTGAAACGGATAAAGCAAATACCATTTCTTCCTTTTCTTATCGAAACACCATATTCGCCACGTGTCACTCGATCGTTGGTTCCGAAACAGGCTCGGCAACGAGCCACGTCGCACTCGCGGGGTTTTCGTTCAACAACCCCACACACCCCACTTCACGCCACTCTTATTATTTTCTTCTTTCACTCACTTTCATGCTTTCGCTTACAACTAGAGCCATTCGGTGATCGCTTCGCTTCGATTTTCCTTCGTCTTCTCCTTCATCTTCTTCACCGATCATGATAGGTAACGGTTTCTTCAACTGAATCGTTTTCGTTCATGCGTTTTTTTATTCTCATTTTTTAATTATTGTTTGAAATTAGTTTATCTGTGATTCGATTATGTTTATTTTACTTGATTATTTGGATTTTTTTCTTCGAACTTGTAAATTTTCATGTGCGTGAATTATTTTTTGTATGAGAATGATCGTTCGTTTATGCGTGTTCTTTTGTTTCCTTTTTTGAAATTAATTTGTAGATTATAGAGTCTTTCTGGTTTGATAATGTTTACTTTTTTTTAATTCTATTTTTCTCAGTTATTTAGCTTTTTTTTTTTTGGTTCTGAGCTTTATATTTTTAATATTTTCATGACGATGAATCAGTTTTTTTTTCTTCATGAGAATCATCTCTCTTTTATGTGTTTTTCATTTCATTTTTAAAAATATTTGTTTGAAATTAATTTGTAGATTTTTCTAGTGTCCGCGGTTCAGTTTTTGTTTTTATTTGTAATTTTGAACTTTTATCGGTTATTTAACTATTTTTGTTGATGTTCTGAATTTGTGTATTGTTATGAGGATAGAGGATGAATCAGTTATATTTTTAAATTTGATTTTGGATATGGATTTGTTTTTCTACTTTTTATAGTGAGTTGTTTTCTTTGTTTTTTTTATGATGTGCTTTCTTTTTAGTTTTAACTATTAAGGCTTGTGTGATAGTATCGCTTAGTTTTTTTTACTGTTTATAGAAATATTTGCTGTGGAATCTTGCTTAAGATAAGACAAAATATGGAAATTGCTTGTTAGGCTGCGGTTTGTGACATTTTCTGACTTTTGTGGCTGATTTGATAATTTTGATCTTCGGCTTGGCTTTTGATTTAATTTTGAGTAAACTGTTTAAAGAAGTAATTGAATCAGCTATCGTTCCCGAGCTTAATTTACAAGCTATTTCAGTTAATTATTTGTTGAAAACAGCTTATAGTTATTTTTGTAACTTTATTTAATTGCTAATATAAGTGCTTATATCATGTCACAACTCTAAACAAGCTCTTCTAAAATGTTAACTATTTCAAAAGCTGTGTAGTTTCCTGAATGATCAATTTTGCTAATAAAAAGTATTGTTTTTCGCTGACAGGGTGAATTTGGTTTCAAACATGCATTATTGGTTATTGAATGGACTATGCTAGGGTTCTGCTTCTACTTTAGTGACATATTTTGATTATTAGAATATTTCGTCTATGGGTGGAGCGTGTTCTCGGAAGAAAGAGGGGGATAATGAAGATAATCTTAGTAGAGGATTTTCTAGGAAATATTGCAAATGTGGGAGTTTGAAATGGTGGACGTCATCCTTTTCTTATCCATACATGGATTTACGCGCACAAAAAGGAGAATGTCCATCACTGTTGGACTTGTGTGTCCAGAAAATAAGTGAGGTATTGTCTAATGATAAGTTTTCATTGTCCCTTCGTACTCTATATTTTGCCCTAAGTCACACTGCAATCTTTATTCAACACAGGATTTGGATAGACATAACTCATTTTCTATGCTGCCACGTGATATAAGTCAGCAAGTTTTAAATAATTTGGTCTACTCTCGACGTCTTACTGGTGGTTCTCTTGAAGCTTTTAGAGATTGTGCTCTCCAGGTAAATCATATTAGATCAATTATGAACCTGATTCATCATGTCTCCTTGATCTAAGTGGTTAGTTTTATCTCTTAACTGCCAGGATCTGTACTTGGGAGAATATGCTGGTGTTGATGATTCTTGGATGGATGTCATTTCATCTCAGGGTTCATCTTTACTCTCGGTAGATCTTTCTGGATCTGATGTCACTGATTTTGGATTGACTTACCTTAAAGAATGTCAAAGTCTCTTTTCCTTAAATCTAAATTACTGTGACCAAATTTCGGATCATGGACTGGATTATATCAGTGGTATCCTTTCTTTTTCTGTATTTCTATCTTTGTTATGGAATAACATTCATCTATTCTTATATCTGCACTGAGGTGTTGGTCCATTGGCATCTTTGTTTTGTCTTTTATTCATCTAAAAATAAAAGAATAAAAAATTCTTATCAGTGTTCCTTGGCTAAACCATACCTATGCATTATTGTGTAAATGAGTACACATATTGTCTTATTTTAACTCTTCTTGATAGCACATTAAAATTTAATTTAGCATACTCATGCTGCTGGTTAATAAGAATGTTTCTTTTATAATAATAGCTACTACCTAGAAAATCTTTTAAAAAAAGTCATGAAAATTGGTTTCTATTTTAAGAACATCTACCATTCAAGTGGTTGATTAGGTCAGCAAGTGTTTGGTCATTTATTATATTACATTTGAATATTATTAAGCACTTGGATTTAGAAGTAAATGGTCTCTCTCTGAGTTTAATTCATGACAAAGCATTATGGCTTGTTTTATGACTTTAATCTATGAAGCTAACCTCACCTTGTCAGAAAAGGCATGGTTGTTGCTGTATCATTAAGCATTTGGGACGGTTAATTTCCAAATTTGGAAATGGTTTTTAGAAAATATTCTTCATGTAGCTTTCTCCTTTTCAGAAAATTTACTTATTGGTGACACACCTATTTCTAATATATTTTTCAGTTATATTGAAAATAGGCATATGAACACCTTATGCAGATCATCGTCATGAAATAAATTTAAATTTGTTCTGATTTGACTGTAATTTTCCATTTTAATATGTCATGTTCAAAGAATGAAATTCTGCATTGGTGAAGCTGACATGATGATTTTCACATAGAAGATATTTTCGACATACCTACCCACTTACAGATCATTGCTTTTACTAATGGTTTACAATATCTGTAATGGCATATTCCAGGTCTGTCGAACTTGACATGTTTGAGTTTTAGAAGAAATGATTCAATATCAGCTCAAGGAATGAGTGCCTTCTCTAGTCTTGTTAACTTGGTCAAGTTGGATTTGGAGAGATGTCCTGGGATTCATGGAGGCATTGTCCATCTTCAAGGTTGGTTCTTTAGTGTAACTTTGTGGGAAAAGTAAAGCTTTACTAAGCAAGCTCTTTTAGTGAACTTCAACTACTCTAGTTATTAAACAACATTCAAAATATATGCTTAGACATAAATTTTTGTGAAAAGCAAAGCTTTACTATTACTGGATAACATTTGTGTTTGTATATGGGCTTAGTAGAACACAAATAAGAGGATAGGAAAATGATGTAGGAATTCTATTACAGTATTTGTGCGTGCAGCATGGATAGAAACCCAAAATTGTTTTCTTCATAACTTCAATCAAGTAAGTTACTTGGTCCATATTTTTCAGGTTTAACTAAATTGGAATCTCTCAATATGAAGTGGTGTAATTGCATAACAGATTCCGATATGAAGCCTCTATCAGGTTTGTTGCATCTTGCATCCTTTTGGTACAATAAGCTCAAAAGTTTACAGAAGTTTTGTTGTCAAGACTTTCTTCAACGCCGTTAGTGTATTTCCAATACTGAATAGTTCATATTCAGGTTATTGGCTTCATTAAGAACCTACGCCCCACCCAAGTAAAGTTAAAATGCCCCGAGTGAAAATCTACGAAATATTTTTCTCTCTCTAAAAAGAACAGATTGTGACATCTGTGTTTGACAACCATATACTTGTCAGTGTATCTTTGTGTTTATAGAAGAAATCATTGCCATCTTATTAGACACAGTTCAGTAACTAATTATACATCTCTTTGATTCAATTTGATTCCAGAACTTGCAAGCTTGACAAGTCTAGAGATTTCATGTAGTAAAGTCACTGATTTTGGCATCAGTTTTCTAAGAGGTATTCTACCTTGCCTTTTATTGTGCTGTTTCAGAGCAATAGGGATTTTATGATTATCTTATACCAAGTTTATGGGTCATTGTAATCACGTGTTTCTTATTTCTCTGTAATAATGCTCATTTATCATAGGTTCAACCCCGAATTTTCATTATCATCAAAAATATTCGTGGTTGTGTACAAAGATGCTAGGGGATGATTGATGTTTGTACTGGGAATCACATTTCTATATAACAAGATTTTCTTCAACCGAACTGTTTATAATAAAATGTTTTCAAGAATATATATTGCTGTCAGCGACAGCAACTATCAGTAATCATTTTTAAGATCAATGTTTGATTTTGAAGATCGATTTAGTTATACTTTTAGAAGTTTCAGTTAGATATTCAATTTTAATTGTGCAAAAGCCAGAAAGAATTTTTGATCAATCCATTCTTAGAAAAAAAATCTTTACAGCCAATTACCTTGAAACGTTGATATTGTTAAGTTGTACATCTTAGTGCCAGTGCAGGAGTTCACTGCTTACCTGTTAAAAAGTTTCGGTTTTCATTGTTCGGTGGTTATTATTCTTCTGTTTTCAATGTTGTCTTGGTTCACTCCAGGATTACAGAAGCTTGTCCTGTTAAATCTGGAAGGGTGCCGTGTATCATCTGCATGCTTGGATTCTCTTGCAGGTTGAATTCCTTCATAGAATTTTAAGCGTACTCTGATAATATTTTTGTTATGCTTATATTTAGGGCATAATTTCCCTATTTATCACATGAATGCTTTATGCTTTTTTCTTTTGACTGGGGGAGTGCGTTAAGATTGAAGCTGAAACCTGTTTAATAGGATGTCTTGAGCATACCACTCCAAGCAGACTCTGACATTAGCAGTCTACTACTCTTGAAACTTAAGTAAGAAAAACATGGGGGGAGGAATTTGATTCTACTCATAGAAATATTCATCTGAATTTTATTTGTTATTCATTTAAATTAGTTTTCTCAGTTGGGAGAGTAGTGAGTCCAACTCCAAACCTTAATGCTTTAACAAAAGGAACCAAAATTTGTTTCTAATAGTGTACATACAGTATTTCCATTTTCCCTTTTTAGTAGCATTGAGTTTCTTTTAAATTTTTTGAAATGACAAGTGTTAGTAATAAGTTGTTAGTAATGTTAGTGGGGGAAGTTGAACCCACAACCCATATTCTCTCCAGCCCTTATATTACTCCTCGAAACCACCTTGTC